GGGGGCGGTTAGGGGTGTCTGGGTGACAAGGGGGGCGCGGGTGACACCCCAGTGCGGGTGACACGTGTTGGGTGCGGGTGACACCCCGGTGCGGGTGACACATGTGGGGTGCGGGTGACACCCCGGTGCCGGGGGCAGTCGGGGGTGTCCGGGTGACACATTTAGAGTGCGGGTGACACGTGTGGGGTGCGGGTGACACCCTGGTGCGGGTGACACGTGTGGGGCGCGGGTGACATCCCCGGTGCCGGGGGCGGTTGGGGGTGTCCGGGTGACACGGGGGGCGCGGGTGACACCCCGGTGCGGGTGACACGTGTTGGGTGCGGGTGACACCCCGGTGTGAGGTGCGGGTGACACATGTGGGGTGCGGGTGACACCCCGGTGCCGGGGGCGGTTGGGGGTGTCCGGGTGACACATGTGGGGCGCGGGTGACACCCCGGTGCCGGGGGCAGTTGGGGTGTCCGGGTGACACATGTGGGGCGCGGGTGACACCCCGGTGCCGGGGGCAGTTGGGGTGTCCGGGTGACACGGGGCGCGCGGTGACACCCCCCGTTCCCGCTGTCCCCAGGGCTACACCCGGGGCGGGCTGCGCATCGGGGTGACGCAGCCCCGGCGCGTGGCCGCCATGAGCGTGGCCGCGCGCGTCGCCGTGGAGATGGGCGTCAAGCTGGGCAACGAGGTGACAACAGCCGCACGCGGGGACACCGGGACAACAGCGGGACATGGGGACACCAGGGACAACAGCGGGACATGGGGACACCAGGACACTGGGGGCATGGGGACACCAGGACACTGGGGACATGGGGACAACACCGGGGACATGGGGACACCGGGGACATGGGGACACTGGGGACATGGGGACACTGGGGACAACAGGGACCTGTGGACACCGGGGACAACAGTGGGACATGGGGACACCGGGGACAACAGCGGGACATGGGGACACCGGGGACATGGGGATACTGGGACACCAGGGACATGGGGGACACTGGGGACATGGGGACAACACTGGGACATGGGGACACCGGGGACAACAGGGACAACACTGGGGACATAGGGACAATGGGGACAACACCGGGGACATGGGGACACCGGGACCTGGGGACATGAGGACAACGGGGGGACACCGGGACATGGGGACACTGGGGACAACACCAGGACATGGGGACACCGGGACA